CTCTAGTGTTCATTATGAGACAAGTAAATACAATTAAGAGAATCTGCTTGCTTAGCAACGGCTTGATTAAAATAATGAAAGTTATCGATTTAAAGTTAAGCATCTTGACTACGTGCTTCGTCGAGTACAGATATATATGTGTCGGTTTATTACATCTTGAACATTGCAAGATCAAATACGATCCGGAACAAACTGATGGACAGAAGAGAGCATCATCATGTGAAGATAATGCAAAAACCATTTGAATATATATGTGATTATCTTACCCGTTTCGGTTGTATGAAAGGCGTAGGTAAAGCTGAAGCGGAAGTTAAACTCGAAGCAAATCGCAGCAATGAATGCCGATATATATGACGGAATGACGTTGGCTTGGCATTCGCCACTTGTTGAGCTCGAAGTTGAGGTCGCGGTCGGTCTCGTGCAATTGAGAAGGTTCTCGTGGAAGATTTTTGAGAAGGACGATAGGACCGAGCGAAACGATTACAAGCCAGACAAAAATAATTGTAGCAGTCAGTGAAATACACAAAGTATCGTCCTTTCATAATACANGAGGCTAAAAGTTGAGGAGATCACTGGTAGAAAGGCTGGAATTCAGGCATGACACAGGAACATTTGATCGAATTCAGTAGTGCACTGGACCCGCCTGACCTCTATGCAGCTGATTCTTTGGATTCAGATGTTCAGTAAATGATTACAAGATTTGATCACTCTTTGTCTCTTTTTGAATGAATCTGACTAGTGATTAGTCATGCCACAACTGTTATCACGTTGTTTTCTTTTCACTGGCAACTGTTCCTCGTCCAGTTCTCGTGTCAGTCTATTTTGAATCTCGAGTTCGCTCTCCACTCACGTCCGCCCTCACACTTCTATTCCCTCTAATTTCCAATTTTTTTTTCGGTTGCGTTCACTGGATCCGCTTTCCTGCCGATATGGTGTATGAACAGTCCTCGAAGCATACACTCTAGCAATGGTGATGAACCAGTATTACCGGATACTTGAAATTTCATTATAATTATCTGATTGTTGTGTGCTCGTTTATGAAAATATGAAGAACCTCCAATACTTCCCATCCCCTCATAAAAGCGCTCGCTGCGATGACATGATAATAATAGGAATATTAGCAGAACAATTGANTCCAATACTTCCCATCCCCTCATAAAAGCGCTCGCTGCGATGACGTGATAATAATAGGAATATTAGCAGAACAATTGAAATTATGGGAATAGCTCATAACGAAACCGAAAGAAGTAAATGATATGGGTTCGGTTTGAGTGTAATAATGCATTTCATTGATTTCACTTCTAATGTTTACGTATAAAGTGAAGCCAAAAATACGATCAGAAAGAATCAAGTTAATGCATTAGATTAAGGCATTTTAAGATTTATATGAAGAACAACGCAATATCCAATAAATGAATGCGGGGTACGAAGAGGAATTTTTTAAACGTCAATTCATCACACACACACACACTTAATTATCGATGCATTCATACAGCTGTTATTCATTTATTATAAACTATTGATTCATTCACGGAGAAAACATTATATAAAGTGCAAGAAAGCAATATCATATCTGCACAGTATTCACAAAAACACTCGAATACATCGAATAAAATCAACGCAAATGAATCAAATCGCACTGCGCAACGAATGGAATTCGGAATGCGAACGAAAAATTACTTCCCAATGAAAGTTTTAAAAAACGAATGAAATGGTTCGATCGAATAGAGTAATTGATCGTGAATAATGAGACACGTCAGTGAGGATCGGACGTCGTGCAGAGGCAAATTGATTGAAATGTAAATTTTATAAACACATCCAGCTTGTGTTGAAACAATCAAAAGTAAAGAAGAGAACTTGTATTCATATGAGGTGAAAATGCAAAAAAAATAAATCATTCACTAATAGGCATAAATAAAAATAATCAGTCGCAACAACGCGCTTGCAATAATGGAAAAATTCAAAAACATCTTGTACTTTTTCCGTCCAGTTTTCCAGTTTTTTGTTATTCCTTCACTTCTTTTCGACATTTTCGTTGAGCCTCTTTAATTCGTTTAATTCCAATCGATTTTTGGAAGGAATTTATCAACGAACAGATATAATTTGATTGATTCAGAAAGAGATCACATGCTACTAATAATTTATTACAAAACAACTAATTAATCTATCTCTCATCAGTTGCATGCAACTAATGATTTATTTCTCTCGTAAACGACTTCTCGCAAATGAATCATCCGCTCACAACTTTTCTAGCGAATGCACTTTTTTCGTGTTCCCTTACACAA